AAAAAAAAAAAAAAAAATCAGAGGGGCAGAAACTTCATTGCGAGGGGAGCGTTTTGATCAACACCCAAACCTGCAGCTCGTGTCCAAACTGTCCCACATCCCAGCCCTCTGCAGCACCCTCAGAGCTGCTTTTTCTCTGCCATTCCCGCTGGATAAATCAGTTCTGCAATGATAATTCCTGTGGTGATGCTGCCCAATCGAGGCTTATCAGGATGATCTAATCTGACCCGATTAAATGATCCAATCTGACCCACAATTAAATCCAATCCATATCATGTAGCTGTGGGGAATTAAGGGACAGCTTCCCCCAGATTTCAGGCAGGAAGAGGCTGAAGCAGAGCTGGCTGGAACCGTGTTGTGCCAGTTGTGGGTCTTTGGGATGCAGGAAAATGTTTTCCAGCCTCGGCATCTCCCTGAGGTTCAGGCACCGTGTGAGGTTTTTGGGGCTTCTCTTTCTGTCAGGTGAATTCGAGAGGAGAAGGGGACATTAAAGGCCATTAAATGTGTCACTAAAAGTGATCTTGGACACGTGTTTGCAGTTCTGCTCTTCAAATGCATTGTGGGAAACTCGTGTGTCACTCGAGTTTCTCTCCTGCTTCCTACAGCAACAATAAAGGCAAAGAATAAAGAACAATAATCAGCATTTACGGCAAAAAAAACCCTCTAAAAATCACTGGGAGCCTTTCAGGAAGAAGCAGGGCTTGAACACAGAAGTTCATTTTGGGTTTGGGTGCTCCTTGTGCAGAAATGATCTTGGAGGACCCTTGGAGTTTGGTGCTGGGGCAGGAAGGCCTCGCTCTTGGGGGAGGTCCAGCCTTGGTGGGGTTTGGGTGGGTTTCAGTGGGGTTTTCTGGGGTTTGGGTGGGGTTTTGGTGCTACACCAACACCTATTTCTATTTCTCAAGCTTCTCTCCCCTCCAAAAGGACCCCCCTGTGTGGCTGTGGCAGACACTGTGCTGGGATTTGGTGTCTGAGGCCAGGCAAAAGCTTCTCTGCGCTTGTTCCTCCCCCACAAAATTCATTAAAAAACCCCAAACCAAACCAAACCAAACCAAACAAAACAAAAAACACCCCAAACAAAACAAGCCCCCCACAAAACCAAACTCCCCAAAACAATAATAATAATTATAAAAATAAAATTCATAAAAAGAAACCTCTGCGATGACCGGGTTGATTCTATTTAGGGTGGTTTGTTGGGGGTTTTTTTGTGTCACACAACAGAATTTTTGCTTTTTATTTACAAGGGAAAAGCCCTGCAACATCTGCCCAACTGGGTGAGTTTGTGGCACTTGTGAACATCACGAAAAAAAAAACCAAAAACACCTAGAAATGGATCCCAGAGCAATACAGGAGGGGGAAAAGTAAAGAAAAAACCCATAATAATTCATAAAACTGTTAATATATATATATATTTGTGGAAGCTGGGAGAGGAATCCAAGTCCCTGCTGCTTCTTCATTCCTGCTGTGCTGGACAAGACCCGCAGGAGCCCCCAGGGGCTGTGGGAGTGCTCTGAGTGAGTGGGATGCTGATCCTTGTCCCTAAATGCTGTGCCAGGAGGCAGATCCTAAACCCTCCTGGCGTGGCCATCCTGCACCAGTGCCGAGAGCCCCTGGAAAACAACCCCCTGGAATGGGATTCCTCCATGGGATCATCCCCCCCCCCCAGCCAGGAAAACCCCTCTCACATCCATGGACACACGTGCAATAAAGGAATAAACCAGCTGAAAGCTTCCAAGCATGAACCAGAGAGAGGGAAACACAGGTCTGGACTGGCTCCAGCAGGGAATGTCTGTCCTGGAGTGCCATCTCCTGGCAAAATCTGAGCTCCTGGGAGCTGGATCTCCATCCCTGGAAGTGTCCAAGGCCAGGTTGGACGGGGCTTGGGGAAACCTGGGCTAGTGGAAGGTGTCCCTGCCCATGGCAGGGGGTGACTCCGGGGGATCTTTAAGGTCCCTTCCAACCCAAACTGTTCTGGGATTCCCGGGAAATTCTGCTCCCAGGAGGAGGGAGATGTTTCTGGGTGACCAAATGTTTCACGCCTGGCCACAGGTTCTGATTTGTTCCAGGGGTAAAAAGCACCCAGGAAACACCCTTTTTTGATAAAGCAGAAGGGAGATTTCTTGCCTGCCTTTTGGCTTTTCCTTTGGCAAAATTTCCAGAGGGAATTCAGTCAGGGAGGGCAGGAATGATTGGCTCCTCAGGGCTTGAGTCCAGAACAGGACTGAGAGCTTTTTAGGGATTTCATTGAGCTCTGAGCTTTGGGCTTGCATTTGGGAAGGCACCAAACTGCAAACTGTGCAGGAAAATGGGGGTTTCCCGCGGGCTTTTATCAAGCACCAGCTGATTGTTGGCACTTTGAATTCCCAGCCTGGTTCTCCTCCTCTTTAGGATAAATAGGAAGGAAGTTAAGGAGTCTTGGAGGGGTTTCATGGCTCTGACCCCATCCTTGTGACATAAATCGGGGGTTCCTTTTGGACCTGGCTGGGGAAATCTCTGCAGAGGTTTTTTTCTCACAGAACTGGAGATTTATAATTATCGGTTTTCCAGAGAAGCTGTGGCTGCCCCATCCCTGGAAAGGTCCAAGGCCAGGTTGGATGGAGTTTGGAGCAACCTGGGCTGGTGGGAGGTGTCCCTGCCCGTGGCAGGGGATGAAATGAGATGAGCTTTAAGGCCCTTCTAACCCAAACCCTTCTGGGATTCTATAAAGTCCTGTCCTTCAGCCCTCCCACACACAATTCCCAGCTGGGGACCGGACAGAATTCCCAGCTGGGAGCAGCACAGAGCCAAGAACAAAAAGCTGAGTCCAAATAAACAATGTTTCCTGCATGCCAGACTTTGAAGCATTTATTCCTTTATTTGAGGATAAAGTTTACAAGTGAATAAGAATCAGGTTGTTCATCCTTTCATCCATCCATCCATCCATCCATCCATCCATCCATCCATCCATCCACCCACCCATCCATCCCAGCACCATTATGGTCTGTGTTTGCTGAGGGAGCAGAAGGAGGGATGAGCTCATGGCTGAATATTTCCCAAGGAATAATCAACAAAAGTGCTTCAGGTTCGAGGGGCTGGGAGAGAATCTGGGTGAGGGGGAGCATGAAAAATATTAAAAGAAGGTAAAAAGTTTTAAATTTTCCAGAGGAAAAGGAAAGAGAGGCTGTTGTGAAAGGAAAATAGGGATGTGGAAGATCTGGTGGAGAGAGCTGAGAGATAAATGGGGAGGAGCTGGGGATGTTCCCAGCTGTTCCCAGCTGTGCCTCCTCCAATCATCCCCCACAATGAGTAGAACTCGGACACAGTGGGGAGGAAATCCAACAGCTCTCACAGCTTCTCCTGTCTGAGATGACTGTAGGGGGTTTGCAAGGGATGGAGAAAAGAAAAGGATGGTGGAGGGGTGGGGAAAGAAACAAACAGGGAGGGCAGACAAAAAGGGGGATTTGTCCCAGATGGAAGAGGATTTGTGCTTGTCGTGTCTCTGATCCATCCCCTGGGATGCAAAACACCTTTATTGCAGAAAGACAATGCACCAAAAAAAACCCCAACAGCAACCCCCTCCAATCAGAACCGTGGGGTTTCTGCCACAAGGTGTGTGTGGGAAATCCCAGCAAGCCCAAACTCGCATTTCCCATCACACTGGGAATAACAAAAGCCAATCCCTGTTTCCCCTCTGCTTCCTGAGCAAAGCTGCAAAGCAGGGGTGGTGGAATGTTCAAGAGATGAGACGCCAAAGGGAGCAGATGTGGGATAACAGCGGATGGGAGAAGAAGAAACTGTGATTTGATGAAGGCAGAGACGTCCAAAAAAAAAACCAGCTGAGTGAGGCAGTGAAGTGGCAACAAAATGTCTTTGTCAGAAGAAAACCTGCTGGCACTGGAGAGAAAGGCAAAATGAGCTGCTGCTGGCTTCTCCCCTCGCAGTGCCACTGGAGATCTGCAGGGTTTCAGCAAACCAGAAGTGCCTTTTCACACCGAGGGAAACAATCGGGCCTTGTTTTCCCCACGGATTTTCTCTGGGCCGCTTTTGCAGCAACCAGAAGTGGCAATAAGGACTACAAGGTCACAGTGGCTCGTCCCCAAACGTGTCTGAACATCAGGTAACCCCCAAACTGAGCATTTGCTGCAGGAGAAAGGCCATTTTGCTGCAGGGGAAATCCCGTTACCTCTCTCAGAGCTCGGTTTTCCGCCACAAACGCCGGAGTCCTGGATGTTCCTCATGACCATTCCTGGTCACCATCCCTGCCTGTCTAATCCCCTCACCTGCTGGTTTGGGCCCATCCATCACTGCTGTGCCCAGCAAAGTTAATTAGTCAGGCAGACCAGGGGAACTCAGCCAGCTAAAAATATCCCTTCTAATTTCTTTTTGCCGGCTTATTTTTCAGGCAGAGCGGCCCCAGGTCTGGGAATTCGGTCAGACCCCCCCGATCTGAAGTGGTGGATGGAGGAGGAACTTTTTAAATGGATTAAAGAAACAGGGAGCTGGATCCACCTTCCTCCCTGGACAGTTGGGTGCCACCAAGCAAAGCATTTCATATCATTTTGCCCTTTTTTCCTCTCCAGTAAGTGGGGGAAACCTCTGAATGTGGGAGAATTCCACTTTAACACGTGGACAGGGGACAAGAAATGTCAAAGCAGATGAGCATCAAATAAGAAAAAAAAAACCAAACCACCAGGCCGATGGGCAGGGCAGAGAGATAACAAAGATGGTATTTATTTGAACAGCCACAGGAAATCAAGAGATTGAAAAACATCTAATTAAAAAAAAAAAAAGAAAAAAAAAGAAAGAAAAGAAAGAAAAAAAAAGCAGCAGCATATTTGATTTTAAAAAATAAATAAATTAATTAAATCAGAGCGTGCAGATGTTTGGATACCTTTTCCCTCCAACGCCACCTGACAGGGCCCAGTCCTCGAGTCACGGCCTCGGGCGTCACTTTTTGGCCTTGTCCCGGGGGTAACCCCCGTTGGTCTTGTTGAGGGACTCCATGCTGCCGCTGCCCGTGGCCACGCTGGCCAGGAGCCGCTCCACCTCCCCGGGCAGCATCTGCTTCTCCTCGTTCTCCGTCTCGCGGTGGTAGAAATAGTTGAAGTTCGAGACGATGACGGGCACGGGCAGGGCGATGGTCAGCACGCCCGCGATGGCGCACAGGGTGCCCACGATCTTGCCGCCCAGCGTGGTGGGGCACATGTCGCCGTAGCCCACCGTGGTCATGGTCACCACGGCCCACCAGAACCCGTCGGGGATGCTGGAGAAGTGGGACTGCGGCTCGTCCACCTCCGCGAAGTAGACGGCGCTGGAGAAGAGGATGACGCCGATGAAGAGGAAGAAGATGAGCAGGCCCAGCTCCCGCATGCTGGCCTTGAGGGTCTGGCCCAGGATCTGCAGCCCCTTGGAGTGGCGGGACAGCTTGAAGATGCGGAAGACGCGGACGAGGCGGATGATCCGCAGGATGGCCAGGGACATGTTCTGCTGCCCGTTGAGCTCGCTCTGCTGGATCAGCTCGGTGGTGAGTGTCACGAAGTAGGGGATGATGGACACGATGTCGATGATGTTCATGATGTTCCTGAAGAACTCGGTCTTGCTGGGGCACACGATGAAGCGCACGAAGAGCTCGAAGGAGAACCAGACGATGCAGGCGGTCTCTATGACGAAGAAAGGGTCCGTGAAGGTGCTGTGGGACAGCAAGGTGTCCGTCACGTTCCTAGAAAGCTCCTGGGCAGACTTGAACTCCCTCTCCTCCCGGAACTCCGGCAGGGTCTCCATGCAGAAGATGATGATGGAGATGACGATGACCAGGACGGAGACCAGAGCTACGCCCCGGGCTGCGCTGGAGCTCTCGGGGTACTCAAAGAGCAGCCAGAATTGCCTGTGAAAGTCATTGGTTGGCAAGAGGGTCTCAGGATCCTTGATGAACCCTTCATCCTCCCTGAACTGGTCCATGGCCTCATCCCCCAGCTCGTAGAAGGTGATTTCGTCAGCGAAGACGTCGATGGGGACGTTGGCCGGGCGCCGTATTTTCCCGCCGGACTGGTAATAGTACAGGATCCCATCAAAACTGGGCCTGTTCCTGTCGAAGAAGTACTCGTTCCTCATGGAGTCGAAGTAGCGCATCCTCTTCTCCGGGTCCCCCAGCAAGGTCTCGGGGAACTGGTCGAGGGTCTTGAGCCGCGTCTCGAACCTCAGCCCGGCGATGTTGATGATGACCCGCTGGTCCCCCTCATCCATGCCCACCCTCTCCCCCACCAGGTGGTCGCTGAACTCGGCGGAGAACCTGGAGAAGATGGTCTCATTGTTGGCGTTCTCGCTGTTGATGAGGATGCGCAGGTTGGAGAGCAGGTTGGCGCAGCTGGGGTGGCCCTTGCGCGACTGCCCGGCGGGGCTGAGGTCGTTTGAATAACAGGGATCCTCCACGATCTGGTCGGCGTTGTCAAAACTGACTAGTGCCACCTCCATCTCCTTCCAACTGGACACGTCCATCATACACTAATCAGATTAGCAGCGCAAATCCCCGGATCCGGCGCCGGCAGCTCGAGCCTTTCCCACGCTATGAGGATCTGCAAGGGAAGGGACAGGGAGGCGATGCTGAGTGGGGCTGAGCACACAGGTCACTCTGAGAGCACCTTCCAGGCCCTGGGGTGGGTTATTTCCCAGACAGGCTCTGGCAGGTGCGCAGGGACAGCCGCTGTGTCCCCA